CAACCAGTCACGCAAATCAACCAAACTGAATTGGACACCCAAATGCCAGACAGCGTTCCTGCCGATCAAGCAATCACTCGCTTCTCGCTCACCCTTCTTCGGTACTACCAACTGCCATGATGGTGGACGCCTTGGACACGGCAGTTGGCGGTGTGCTTCGGCAACTATCCGAAGGAGTATGGCACCCCCTGGCCGCCTTCTCTCAGCGTCTTAAGCTTGCAGAGAGTCGCTACAGCACCTTTGGTCGCGACTTACTGGCCATGTACTTGTCAGTCAGACACTTTCGACACTTCATCGAAGGACGAGAGTTCTGCATTTACACTGACCACAGACCGTTGGTGTATGCTCTCAACTCCAAACCCGACCGGTATTCACCAAGAGAACTTCGTCACCTGGACTATGTATCTCAGTTAACATCCGACATTCGTCACATCAAGGGAACAGAGAATGTCGTAGCGGATGCGCTTTCCCGATCTCACATCAGTGCCTTGACAACATCGACCCAGATTGACTTCGAGCAGATGGCCACGGATCAGACACACAACAAGGAACTACACAGACTCCTGGAATCACCTACATCCCTGGACCTCAAGCAAGTTCCGATACTGACCTCAAGTACATCCATCTGGTGCGACGTGTCGACAGGACATGAACGCCCTTTCGTGCCCCAAAACCACAGATGGAGTGTTTTCGATTCCTTGCACAATCTGTCTCACCCTGGCATTCGAGCAACACTTAAACTGGTTAGTTCATGCTACGTCTGGCCACGCATGAACTCAGACATCAGAGCTTGGGCCAAGGCCTGTGTCAAGTGCCAGAAGTCAAAAGTCCAAAGCCACACCAAGACTCCGTTTGGAACCTTCGCATCTCCAGATGCATGTTTCGACCACGTGCACATAGACATCGTGGGACCACTCTCCCCTTCCTAGGGATATTGCTATCTACTCACATGCGTTGACAGGTTTACACGCTGGCCAGAAGCAATACCCATACCCGACTGCACCGCTGAAACAGTCGCTAAGGCCTTTGTGAACAGATGGGTCTCCACCTTTGGTGCTCCGTCTACGATAACCGCGGACCACGGACGACAGTTTGAGTCGGCCCTGTTCCACGCTTTGATGGTTCTCTTAGGTACCAGACGCACGCGAACAACATCGTACCACCCCATAGCAAACGGTATGGTTGAATGCCTGCATAGACAGCTTAAAGCCTCTCTCAAATCGAGTACTAACCCTCAACGTTGGACCGAAGCACTACCACTCAATTTCCTCGGGATCCGCACAGTGGTAAAGCAGGAGCTTGGTTGCTCCACCGCAGAGTTGGTGTTTGGTATCACCTTGAGACTTCCAGGACAGTTAGTTGCACCTCTCAATGATTCTGATAATCTCACCGACCCTGCAGACTATGTTCACAGACTGCGACACACGATGTAGCATACTTCAACTTGGTGAGTCATTTAACTTTCAATAAACTCGGAGTTGAGTAGGACAGTATAACTAATTCCTACAGAGTCCATATGCGCCAGTTTGGGACTAAACTCCTTAGTAGGTTGGGAAACCAGGCGTGTGGCCTAACGTACAGCGCAGCAATACGGAGGCCACACAAGTGGGGTTAGTTCCGGATAGGGCGTGCACTTACGATCCAACTACACGCGTGTTAATCGATTTTGTGTGACGTATTCTGTGCGGGGTTAAAGATTTTCTGTCCGTGCATGAGTTGCGCTGCAGACAAAAGTTTCAAAATCATTTACGTTTTTTCTCTTTTTAAAATTTGCTGGAATTCTCTTGAATGAACTATTTTTGGAAAATAAAATAATACTTTATTAGAAAATATGCTTGATTTGGTTGGTTCTGGCTGAAAAAAAAAATTCTCGCATGATTTTTTTTTCACCTGAAGCAGTTTTGAACGATTCGGAACTGATAGAACCGATCCAGAACTAGGAAAAGTGACATCGGTACTTTTGACGTCATAAAATCAAAATGAAAAGAGCTTAATTTTTAAAAATTATTTCCTTGTCTCTCCATCACTCAAGATAGACATTTTAATCAATGTCACTTAAATTCGTGGAGTAGTTCAGCCGAAAGCAGCCTGAATAATGTTTGCTATCCGGAACTAGGAAAACGACTGTAGTCGGACTCCAATATCGTGGCATAATATTATCGCGACTAGCCCCACTAGTGTAGACTTGGCCAAGTCTGGGTTGCGCTCGGTCTGTATCTAAATGTGCCAAAGCGCATACGTACGTACACTGTAAACTGTACACGCCTTACCATAACGCGCCCTCATGCGTCAATTAAATCCAGACCAACATGTTAAAAATGTACATGTACATGTTATTTGTATGTGATGCAGCAACCCAGACTTTGTCAATCTGCCCAGCTTACGCGCTGGGTTGTTCCACGTTTGTACACAGTCTATGGAAATTAAGTTTTGCTGTGATTGGCTTAGAAGCCAATCAGAGCACAGTATTTCAGGTAATTAGTTTTTATTCTTAAAAACGCGCGCAGGTTGTTTTGATATTATTCCTTACACACAATCAACTTTGTCTGCGTATTTGCGCAGCCAAAGTTTCACTGAGAATGCACACGCATCCCATGGTGAGGAGTAGAAACAGATACATGTACACGCAAGAGTACGTTCAAATGCTTTGAAACCGCTCTAGGTACACACAACACGTAGCGGAATCAATGGATCTCAACATCTTTTACAGGTTAACCACAATAAAATTCCCTTTTGTTTTGAATAACATTTGAATGTCAGGTTCTTTATAAATTCAATCCAAGAGCAGCTGATCTAAACATCATCATCCAAATTTAAATTAAGGCCAAATAAAAAAAAGAGTTCTGCTTCCGATTACATGCCTTTCAAAAATAGGGTCGGTCGGTCGGAATTTTTTTTTGTTTTGGCCAATTTTTTTATGCAGATTGAATGGGGTATTCAGTTATAGGCGAAGTTTTAGCCTGAACTATTTCCATTACACTACAAAAGCTATACAGAAAAAGTGAATAAAACCTACCTTAATTATGGTCAATATATTTACGTTTGATAATTCTTTTTAAAAAAATGGAAAATTCAGGTCGTTCACACCATATGCACAACGCTAGTCAAGACAGGAAGCTGGCCAAAACTCTGAGGTGTGTGATGCACTGTGCATGCTGCGTGCGGCCGCCCATGGGCTTAGAGACCTCGTTTTTACTTTCCAAAATTTCGGGAAACACATGGCATGTATCACTCCAAATACGAGTAGTGCGATCTCAAAATAAACTCTTAAACACGAAAAATACATACACAGACAAGCTAGATCAATTCTGTGAATTAACTTGCAAAAATGTTCTTTCTCCATCGGTGTTTTCTTGGCATTTTTACGATGTCGAATCTGACCAGTTGACAGTGCAACGGCCTGCAATGGATAGAGTGCATGCTAGAGCTATCGATGGCATAGCAATGGACTGGTTACCGCATTTTCATCATGTCTGCCCCTGTGCGGCACGGCGGGAACCAGTCGTTACTTCATTGAGCTAAGTTTACGCACGTGATTATAGTCACCGTGACATCGAATTGCGAAGTAGTTATATCGCAAAGCGAATCTGTAAAAATAACGGAGGTTTCTTTTGAAAAAAAAAAAAAATGTAAGTAAGAAAACAAATAAATACAAGCATTTTTTGACGCAAAAGGGTTGTTGAGAGGTATTTTGTGAAGACTGAAAAGACAACAAGATTTTGTTTTTATTTATTCAATCATTATTTTTTTCTTTCTTTTTTTGGAATTGTCGATAAATTTTTTTTTTAGGGCTGCAGCCTAAAAATAGGGTCGGTCGGTGGGGTAACCGGAAGCAGAAGTATTTTGTTTTGGCCTTATGGTCAAAGGATTATGCTCAAAGAATTTGCTTTTGAGAAATGTCTTGCTTAAGATTGAAAATATCCAGTCAGTTTGCTTAAATCACATACAATGACCTCCCAACAGAAAAGCAAAAAACAAAAATTCATTATGGGATTCATAGGCATCAACACATTACATCTATAACCTAAAGAAAACAATAACAATGTCAATGAACGTTCCATGTGACCCAAGTAAGTTGATGTTAATAGAGTGGTGTTAGGCCAAAAAAAAAAATATATTCGGTCTCTGGTCACACCAAAGTTCCGGAATTTCTTTTCTTCAAGCTTAGATTGTACAGACAAGGTGGGGTACTATTTTGTTTTTTTGGTGTCCTCATGTACATTGGTGTCCTCCATAATTTGCCTTGGTGCTTTCGATAATATTTGCCTTGGTACAATTTCCCATTCCTTGGTGCTCTTTGGTAAACAAAATTGAGGTGCGGAAATAGAGGGCGCTGTTGGAGCTACCGCGGAACACTTTGGAAAAAAAAAGATCGACGCGCATGATTAAAATCGACGCGCGCTGACCAGAGACCGACGTATTTTTTTTTTTGGCCTTATGTCATGGAAATACCGGTAGGCATGGTTGCGGGGCATTTGTCAGTTTGTGTTTATTAACACTTCTTTTCTTGTTTATCAAGTTTTAAACCTTTTACATTTTCTTCTACCGGCAGAATTTGACTTAAATTGCAATCCAGTTGACTTCAAACTAGGTACAAACAAAGACCCCAAGGTTAAGTTGGCCCTAGACAAGTGTCATTATGACGTCATCAATGGTCATGTGACATCATCTTAAAGGTGTATATTTTAAAGGCCTAGATGTGTATAACTTTGTACATGCATGAAATTGAATCCTAATTAATTAACAGACAAAAAAAATATATTAACCCTTCAATGTAAATGTAAAAAATCTTACTGCGGAAAAGCCTGTGTTCTTGTCATCGAACAGACATACAACTGTAGTTCTAGTTTTGTTTTGTTTTGTTTTGTTTAAATTTCAACAAAACATGAATCAGTCAGCAGACAACCTGTACATGATATGGCATTGAGTGACTTGGGTACATTTACACATTGAAACACAAACAGAGCATACAACTGAGAACTTTTCATTTGTTTCTGCAGATTTTGCAATGCCAGAGAACGTACAGCAGCTCATCACTTACTCGGAAAAGTACCTGGATGATCACTTGGAGTACAGGTATATGTAATGGCTTATTGTACTTGTAATAATGTGTTTAATGACATGTCCATCGGGGAACTCTTATTTGGTGTGAAAGAATGTATTCTTTGATGTTGTTGTAACAGAGATTGAATTCTTATTTAACCCTTAGTATGTAAGGTCAGTGATCAGCCTAACAGTGAATGGGTGCAGTAGTACTTAAACATCTATCGGAGGTAATGTACAAAAAAATATCAAATTATGAAATACATGTACAGTTAACTCCGATTATAACTCAAAGTCAGATGACTCAAAATTCCACTTATCTCAAAGTCATTCTTCATTCCCATCAAAAGAACAGCATATAATGTACACAAGTACCTCTGTAACTCGAAATGCCCGCATCAGTACATCCGCTTACCTGAAAGTTTTGTTCAGCCAACCCAAAAGAAACCGCTGCTGAAACACTCACAAAAATGTGTAAAAAGTCTTTTTTTTTTCATGAGTGTTTACTGCCCAGCACGCTGGGACCCTGTATGCACACTGTTATTGTGATCGGACTAGTCACAATAACCACCCCATAATCGCAACGATCGTGGCTTTTGAGTTAGCCTGACTGCAACAGCTTGCTCAATTGTAGCACCCATGAAGGCAGTCCAATCGCTGGCTCATTGTGGTGGCCATGTGACTGCATTGAAAATCCTGGTTTACGCCGCGTGTCAAGCCTGATCACTTCCGCTGGCCCAGTTGCAGCGCTCACTCACATGCTGGCTGTCCAATTAGAGCCAGTCGCTGGCTTAGTACAATGGACATGTGACCGCAATAGGAAAACCAATCGCTAACTCAGTGGGGTGACAATGAGACTACGTACATGTAGCAATCTTTGAGGATGTTGCGCAAAAAAGTAATAAAAACTGGAGGTCTATGTCTGTTTGAGAACAGAACATAAGGTAGGGCTTTTAATTGTATAATCTTGTTAGTAGCCAACAATATAAAGTTTAAACATTTATTAAAAATCTTGACATCATATCCACCATGATGTCACCTCGATTTTCATCTACATGTATAGGCTCTGTAACCAAACAAAATTTCAATGCAATCAGACTTGCAGATCTGTCTCTAGATACATGTATACATATTGGTAGGATTTTGACAAATGCACATTTATGATGACATCACATGGTCCATGATGGCGTCACTTGTAAATGCACACATTTACAATTTGATCCTGTTCTGTTTCAAGTTTGAAGTAGACAAGACAATATCAAATTTTGTCAGTAGAATGAAAAATTTAAAATTTCATTAAAAAATCATAAAAAATCAACCGATTTGATGAGGTCACTCCTGATTTGACAAATTCATATTTCATTACGATAGGACCTTCCCTTATGTTTTTTAAAAGCAATTTGCATTTTTGATGACGTCCTCATGACGTCACACACTTTTCACAGTTTGCTACCAAAACCTAGTTAAGAAAGAACTTTCAATTTATAATGTTGCTTTCGTGAGATACAGCAATGAACTTCAAAATGTCAAAAATCCATATAAAACCATGGACGATGATTTCATCATGAAGTCACCTCAAATTTCATAACACATCCCAATAGATGTGTACAAAGTTTCAAACCAATCAGACTTGTAGTTCTCCAGATACCGGGATGACGTAACTTGGCAAATGATGACGTCATCACAACATCACTTATCAAGAATAGGGACTATGTCTGTGCTAATAAACTTTATGTATGACAAAGATAAATACCAAAAGTTGCATCCAGAAAAGATGTGTAAAAAAGTGTATGGGATTTGGGATGGAACAAAAGGACAAGAAGAAGAAGAAAGAAAAACTAGAACTATGTCTGTTTGATGAACAGAGCACAGGGCTATTCTGCATTATGATTTTTTTTTATGAGTCAATGCTTTTTTCTGTCCATGTGCAGTCAGGCAAAATCAATTCAATTTCATGTCGCGAACAAAGTTCTATGACTTTCCATTAGTCTTGTAATTCTCAGAGTTAGGACTTTAAAATAATGCACCTTTTAAGATTACGTCACATGACTCATGATGATGATGTCGTCTGTATGACGTCAACTCAGTCTTTACCTATAACATGTCCTAGTGTAGCTACAGATGAAGTTTTAACCCGATTGGACCTGTAGTTCCCTAGATTACTGTAAAGCACATTAAAATATCCCCATTTAAGATGATGTCACATAACCCATTACCCATGACCCTTGTGAGGTCCTTGCTCTGTGGACTTTGGCGTGCAATACATGTTATTCCACTACATATTTGGTTTTAAATGTGTGGCTGTTTTCCTGTGAAACTACATGGTATTGTGCTATTAAAAGCAAACTTAGCGTTTAATACTTTATTTTCTGTTCTTTGCCTATGTACCGCGACAACCTCCGACTGTGTAGAATAATCACTGCACACGTACACGCTACCAGCATGACCAGCCTTCAATGCACATTGCACAACTGTGCATACATGTATGTAGACTGAACCGCATGTGTGAGTGCCCCTCTGGCTGCGGGGTAGGTGTGATGAGAAAGCTTGACTCATGTGACAGGAGTGATGAGTATAACACTGAATCTGTGCTGTACTGCAGGCATACAGTACTTGGAACTGGCTGTGAGTGCTGGCTCTGATGGACCTGGGTACATACATGTATACATGTACAAATACCCGGCTCCAAACGAGTCACAGATCTACCCGGCCGTTAAGTTGCATGAACATGAATACATCCTGCAGCACTTTAGTTTGTTTCATTCTGGTCAGGGTCCTTGGTGTGGCAGCAATTTGATACATACATGTAGGTACATGTACAATACAGAGGTACCGGTACATATGTAGACTGAACCGCATGCGTGAGTGCCTATTTGATGTTAATGTACATGTAGTGTTAAGTGAGGAGAGTTTTGGGAATGGTCATTGTCTATTGGAAACTCTAATGAAAGGCTCTACTGAGGAAAATAATACTTTGATGCAGACTGTGACAAAACTATAAAATAATTCTTATTCCAACACTGTTATGAAAAACACACCAACAACAGACTGTAAAGCCTGTGTAGTGAGGTACCTTAGTGAACAAATCGTGACACGGCAGACAAAAGCACCATTTTTTCACCAAAACAACTTTATGGTATACCTTTTCGAAAAAAAGGTAGGATGCAAAAAATTTGATGATTGGAAGGGCAATATATGACGTCATTATAACGTCATCAGCTAATTATTACATGAAAAATTGATAATATCTTCAGAACTACAAACATCACAACAACAAATGTGGTATCAAATTAAAGGGAACAACAAGATCTTTCATTAGAGTGGTATGTCAGTGGGATGAGATGTAGTGAAGGGTGTTGTTTTGGGCCAAAAAGACCTTTTTTGTCAAAAGACCTGTTTTGGGGGGCTAAAATTATGGATTTCAGTAAACTGTAAGTGTTATTGTGATATTTTGTTTTTATGTCGGAGAGAAAGGTTCAAATTCTATGCCAAAGAGTTTTTGTAATTGATTATTAGTATCTTAAACGTTTAAACTTCAGTTTTTCTGCCTTCCAAAGATAGGCAGAAAAACTGTAACACAAGTTACCGTAAGGAAAGTTACCACCATTTTAGGGTATGGGCCTTGGGATTTCCTGTATCACGCTGATAATACATAGTTTATTTATCAGCCAATAGATGGTATACATTACCTTTATCAATTTTATTTTCCAGTTTGAGGAGACTTTTGAATCGAGACCTCCAATAAATTATGCATGTTCTTTTTATATAGGTCTAAACGACAGTTAAAAAAAGTATTAACAGCCCACGAATAAGAGCTTTCCACTTTGTATTCATTCTGTTCAAACTGACTATGTGCACGGTGGTCAAAAAAAAGTTTGACTGTTGGAACCAATGCATTTAGTTGTGAGACTCCTTTTATTGTCTCAAAGTGCCTCAATATGTAACAAAATTTGTCGTCGAATTGCCCATAAACAATCAGAATTAGTTACGAGTAATAGCGCTAACAGTCCTGAATCCTCCAATGTTAATACGATTTTGCATACCCCCTAGGGAGTTAGGGTTAAGCCTAATCCATTGAGGGTCAAATCTGTTAGGATGTGCTGGGGTGAAATGGAGAAATGAGCATCCCCATCTCCATTGAAGTACTCCAGTGCATAGCACGGCCTTTCAACATTAGCCTCTTCCAATAAAATTCTAAGGACCAGTTCTACGAGGAACTCAACACCACTAGCGGAGGTATCCCTGTCGGTCATAGAGCAACTGTACCTACATGTACTTGGCGAATTCAACGCCCGAGTGGGATCTGATCATAGGATCTGACCACAACTCCTGGCCCAGCTGCATCGCTCACTTTGGCATTGGCAGATGCTACAGAAGCACCTCGGATCCCGTCACTGGCTTCAGCTTCATCTCATCATCACACGAAGACCCTCTCTGCGTTCTCATCTTACGCAGCTTCCACGACACTGACTGTGATACAGACCACTCCGTGGTTGGCAACAGAGTACGTCTTCAGCCCAAATGAATGGATCCACTGCTCAAAGCAAAAAAGACGCCCACGCACCAAACATCGCCAGGACGTCAATCCCAGATTGTGCAACAACTACTGTGGAAGCTCCCTCCTCTGTATCGTTAGGAAGGCCCTCGCCCTTGTAGTGCTAAACAGATTGCAGCTGCTAGCTGAACGCATACCCTGAGTGGCAGTGCGGTTTCAGAGCTGGAAGATCAACGATCGACATTGTCTTCTCCATTGTCTTTGACTTATGGTAGCTCCAGGAGAAGTGACAAGAGTAGAGACGACCGATGTACTGACCGCCGACCTAGCCGATAAAGGTCTTCGACCTTCGTCAGTAGAAAAGGCCTCTTCAGGCTATTGCAGAAGATTGGATGTCCCCAAGTCATCCGAAACATTCATTTCCATTACCTTATCAGCATCGGATGTGATGTGCACAACAGCTGAGCACTGCCGAGGACAAGCCGAGGCCTTCACCACACTGCTGGATGCTGACCTTACCATTCCGGTGAGAGACATA